CTTCAGTCTACATACAGAGTACCTACACTTCAATAATCAGATTTGGGGCTTATTTGAGTCAGGGCAAGTGGCCTGGTCATCGGGACACCCTCACACATCTCCGCAGCAACTCTGTCTACAGGATGCACAACTCTCATTGCTCATCAGAGATACAGCAGCAGCAGCAAGTGTGGGGCCGCAGGGGGCTGCATCAACTCAGTGTAGACACCCCCACACCCCACTGTCCCTACCTGCATCTGCCCTTCCCTGAATTAATAGATGCCCCTGGGCATGTCAGCCTGGGATTTCATCAGTCTCTCTTCAAACATTACTTCTTCAAAATGCAAGGGAATTAGACCCTTGAAGGGTCTAATTCACTACATAGCTCTTGTCCTAATACCCTTTTCTCTACCTAAATGCTGCTCTACCCCTTCTTTTAATTTACCTCCATTATAACACCTTAAAGGGTCTAATTCCCTACATCACTCTTCTCCTAATACCCTTTTCTCTACCTAAATGCTGCTCTACCCCTTCTTTTAATTTACCTCCATTATAACACCATGTATGTTTCATCATAAGACTCCCCATGAAACATTTCCCTGTCCTCCAACAATCATGATCTCTTCCTTCTTTCTAAAATCCTACTGCTTCATCAACACACATTATACCCATGATGTTCCCCAATATTTCAGTCTTAGATGATTTTAATTAATTGTTTAAAGGTAGCAGTCACGCAAAGTCGATACATAAACTGCTTTAACTCTTTAGCTGTCAGTTTTCCTCTGTGCAGCTTGGTAATAATGATGTAATTTCTGAATAGTATATGATGTTGGGAATAATAGATTTCATCAAAATTAATTTATTATTCACATAGTAACCCTGGAACAAAGCTTAGCAAGACATGCAACTCCCCTGCTAGTGTAGCGAGACAAATGATACAGAAAATGAACAGTCAAATGTACAGAAACTTGCTGCAATTTACCATGGAGAAATCAGGAAAGACCTCAGGGACAAACTGAAATGTAAGCTGAGTGGAAAAGGAAAGGAACTGGGGGAAGGGAGCCCAGTTCCCCACTGTGTGAAGTGCAGATGGCCTGACATGGGGTCAGCCAAGCTTAGGACACAGCACAATACACAAAGGCCT